GACGAACTACCGAAGATCCTCCGACGACGACGACGCCGCGACGGAGCTTTCCGAACACAACGCCAACCAGGCAAAGCCCTGACAGCGAAAGCTCACTTGCCGAAGGTGGCCTGACGAGTCCACTTGTTTGCATTAGAGGGAGAAGGATACCAAAGTGGGTTCATATCTCACGAAGTTCGGGACGCAAAGTCTCAAATACAACGCTGATTGATCTTGAGTTGTTGATTCTTTTCGCCTCAAGTGCCAAGGGCTGTGGTGGTTCGCAATGTTTCTTTCACTAGTTCGAGGATCGTCAGCAGGGTCGATGTGTCGAATCACCCATTTGCAGGTGTCGCATGGAGCAGCTTCGTGAGTGCTTACTTCATAATATTTTCTGGCTATCTGAATAGCCGCTACGCCCACCTACTTATCTGCAGTTTCTGTAAACGGCGTGGTCACCTAATAATATCCTGCAAAATGTTAGGACAAATAATGCCCTGCCTGGTCTGGACCAGGCAGGGCAACTGGACCAATATTTGCTGCTGTTACGAGGGTTCGCTGACTAAGATAGGTCGGACCTTTTGTATGTTTACGCCACACTTTGGGCGAAACACTATCATGATGTTGTCTTTCGGTAGGGAAATGGCATGCATGAGGCTCTGAGCACATGATTATTACAGGTAAATATGCATGTAGACAAACGATTCCATAACCTGATGGCTTGAGTTTCCAGGTGTGGTCGCTCACTCACGCAATCACTTATTTCAGGACTCGGGCGCCTCGTACCTCTATACTGATTAAACTTGTGCTTCCACCGAAAGTTTGCTTTGAAGTGAAAGTGGTTGATGAGAACACCAATAGGACTTCGCTCGCCAGCGCAGCCGCGTTTAGGAAAGGCACGCGCTGCTCACGCACGAACATGTAAGAACAATGGCAGTTCGCTCTCGTCCAGGTGTATGCCTGGGCATTCGTTTTGTGCGTCTTTCTTTCTGTTTGAGCAGCGTTCTTCGAGTGTAGAGCTTTGGCAGTTGTTTGTTCACACTTGTTCTTGAAGGTGTACCTGTGCTTGCCCTTATTGATACTGGTGCCGCCATTTTCGTCATCGCTGAAAACGTTTGCCATTCGATTCGAAAAGTGAGAACGCCTTACTTGGGTTCGTGTCTTCATACTGTCACTGCACAGCTTGTGCAGCCTGTGGCCGCGTGTACCGCCAGACTTGTAATTCAAGGGGTGCCCTACACAGTGCAGTTCGTATTACTCCCTCACTTTTCTGACGACATCATTTCAGGCTGGGATTCTCTCTAATATCACCAAGGCTTCATTGATTGAGTCCGTGCCGAAGTCGTCTTCTGTCCCCTTGGTGATGCTGTACCTGCAGACGATCGCCATTCTTACGCGAAGTTGGTTATTAGTGACGACACCCAGATCCCTCCACGCGCTGTTGTCTTCGCACGTGTGTCGTGTTCCACCATCGTCGACACTACCGCATTCTTCACGCCTTCCACTGCTTCCGTTGATCGCCGCCTCTCACCGCTCCCAACCGCTCTCGTTACTCTTCAAGGTGGTGCAATCGACGTGCTTGTGGGGAATCCGTTCCCATTCCCAATTACGCTGCTTCGGGTTGAATGTATCGGCTCAATAAAAACATTCGAAACCATCGCTACACTTGACGTTCCTGATAAATCATCGGAAGTCGGCGCCCTCTCCTGTAGTTCCGGCAATGGCCTTTCCACTGCCGACATTCTCAACCTTGTAATCGACGAAGACCTAAACCCACAATAGAGGTGTGAGCTTTAGAACCTCCTTGACAAGTTTCGGCCATCTTTTGACAGTCACAGCGCTACTTTAGGTCGAACATCTACTGTATGAAACCAGATCAACACAGGTAATCACCCACAACTACGGCAGCGACCACACCATGTTTCGCCGACTGAACGCCGTGTCATCGATGAACAAGTATGTGACATGCTAAAGCGAGGCGTCGTTCAACTATCGAACAGTCTTTGGGCGTCGCCGGTTGTTTAAGTTAAAAGAAGGATGGCAAGATACGCTTTTGCGTAGATTATCGTCGCCTAAACAAAGTAACACGAAAGTATGTTTATCCTTTGCCTCGAATTGATGACGCCCTGGACTCTTTACAAGGCGCAATGTTCTTTTCCTCCCTTGGCCTATGCTCTGGGGTATTTGCAAGTACCAATGAATCCAGATGATACGCCAAAAACTGCCTTTCTTACACCAGACGGTTTATAAGAATTTAACGTGATGCCATTCGGCCTATGCAATGCGCCGGCAACATTTGAGCGCATGATGGACACTCTCTTACGAGGCCTCAAATGGAACACGTGTTTGTGCTACTTAGATGATGTGGTGGTATTCTCACCCGATTTTCCCACGCACCTTCATCGCTTGGGACAGGTTCTACGCTGCCTTTCTGCAGTTGGCCTCCAACCAAACTTGAAAAAGTGTCACTTTGGAGCACGCAAGCTGACCATTCTCGGACACGTCGTGTGGAAGGATGGCGTTCTTCCTGACCCCGCTGAGCTACGTGCTGTTAGCGAGTTACCGATGCCCGCGTCTCTCAAGGAGCTGCGTGGTTTCGTTCGGCTTTGCTCATACATCCGCCGCTTCGTCCGGAATTTCGCCTCGATCATGGCACCTCTGACAGACCTCTTTCAGGAAGACCGCAATCTATCTGCGTGGTCTCCAGCCTGTGACCGCGCCTTGGCGAAGCTCCGTGAACTGCTTACAACACCACCCACAGTGCAACATTTCGATTCAAGCGCTCCCACAGAAATCCACATGTACGCCAGTGGTGTCGATCTTGGCGTTGTACTCACACAACAAAAGCCTGGTTACCAAGAAAATGTTGTTGCATACATGAGCCGCACTCTTACAAGAACAGAAGCAAATTATTCGGTAACTGAAAAAGAATGCCAAGCGATCATCTGGGCCATTACAAAATTTCGGCCTTATCTGTACGGCCACCGTTACGATGTTGTAACGACCGCCACGTGCTCTGCTGATTATCCTCTCTCAAGGATCTCTCCGGACGCTTGGCACGATGGGCTTTACGGCTACAGGAGAACGACATCCGTGTCATTTATCTCTCAGGCCAGAAGCGTGCCGATGCTTTTTCGCGTTCGCCTGTTTCTACTGATATTGCGAGCGTCTCCATCTAATACAACTTATTTCTACTATCAGGACTCATCGACATGGCTGAGGAGCAGCGCAAAGATTCGTGGATTGCGTCTCTGATGGATTACCTATCTGAAACAATCGCCCACCCGCCAGCTCGAGCGCTACACCGACAAGCCTCTCACTTCGCCATCCGTGATGGAACACTTTATCGCCGCAACTACCACCTTGACAGCTGCAAATGGCTATACCCAGGCATCTCCGTGCCGGAATATGTGATGCGTTCCATGCCGATCAGCAATGTGCACACGCCGGTTTGCTTAAAACCTACGCCAGGCTACGTTTCTGGTTTTATTGGCGCGGCATGTACACATTCGTTCAAAAGTACATTCGATCTTGCACAGAGTGCCAATGCCGCAAGCACAATCCTAGCCGTCCTTCTGCACCAATGCAGCCGTTACCATGCCCTATGCGACCATTCGACCGGGTGGGAGTAGAACTTTATGGTCCTCTGCCATATACATCAGCTGGGAATCGCTGGATTATTGTAGCGATCGGCCATCTCACGAGATATGCAGAAACGGCCGCTCTACCAGCCACGACGGCACTTGACGTTGCGTCTTTCCTGCTGCAACGTTTTGTTCGGCGTTATGGCGCTCAACCTGAACATTTGAGCGACCGAGGCCGCGTCTTTCTCGCGGATGTTATTCAAGAACTTCTTGCTGAATGCCATGTGATTTATCGCTATACTACCGCATATCGCCCAGAAACAAACTTCTTGACCGAACATTTCAAACGGACTCTTGGCAACATGCTTTTTATGTATGTCTCCTGCAACCACACCAACTGGAATCTTATTCTTCCCTACGTGATGTAGGGAAGAATAATCTCCATCATCTCTAATCGACACCATTCTCCTCTACCCACCCGACTCATCCAGAGACACATTAGTTTCCGAAGCCGTTCGATATGCGGAAGAATGTCGGCAATTAGCTCGCACCCTTACAACACAAGAACAAGGGCTACAGAAATTTCGTCCCGAAGACGGACGGTCCCACTACCAGTTTTCACCCAACTCTCTTGTTTGGTTGTGGCTGCCTCCCACTGCTGCTCCTGGTACCTCTACAAAGCTTGTCAGCGGGTACCAAGGACCTTATAACGTCTTAGAGCACACTTCCGCTGTCAACTACCTCATCGAACACCTCAAGCCCACTGCGGACCTGCGTCGCTGATACCTCTTTTACTTAAATTAGTCATTTGATTGATTTTTTGAGCACCTAAAGCAGAGGTGCGCGCAGCAAGTTTCGAGCATCTCGCCGTTCTGCGCGCGACAATGCAGTTTATTGCTGTAGCATTCAGTCCTTCGCCTTTGTGGTGAAACAACGCGTGTTTAGAAAAAAAAATGTTTAGCGATTTCGAGTACTTCGTACTTCACTGTAGGAGAGCACTGAGCCGTCTCGCTGAACAACGCACAATAAACGCTCAAATACTTCTGTGCAAGTACGTTTCCCTTTCCTGTTAAATATAGTTCTAAAGAAAAGAATCAGCCACGTTTTTTTGTTGTTGTTCTTCCTTTCGAGTTTGTACACTTAGTCTAAACACCTCCATAAGATCCATTGATTTCGTCTGCCACGTAATCATCTTTTGCAATAATAAATATGTCTCTTATTTGAAAGAACTTGTTGTTGGGCTAGCTGGTACAACATTTCAAAAAAAAAAGCCCAGTGTGAACACACGGCACAATCACTCACACGCAAACACACATACCCTGGGTGTGTGTGGTGTTTGAGTGATTTCGTCGTGTGTTCACGCTTGGTTAATTTTTTTGAAGTCTTTCACTTAAATTAGTCACTTGATTGATTTTTGTTTTACTTGTGGTGACGCAGGATATTCGGCTCACTATGATCATTTTGACGCACCTGAAGTGGAGGGTCGCGAACAATGTAAGTAAATCAAAACTCAAATGTCTATAACTAGGATGCTTTGAGCTCGTCAACTAGGCTATGTAGTTCTTACGTGCTCGTCGTTAAACGGATGAATTAGTACCCTTACCTAATTTTCTCGTAGCACCGAAACAGGAACATTATATACTCTATTGTCTGTAGTAGTACACATCCTGCTTACTCTACGTTGAGGCTCCATGCCGAGTTCATACAGGTTGCCCAGCTAACTGTGGCCACAGTTAAAAAGTACGCTTATGCACTCTGTGACTACGCGAATAAATGCCTAATGCTGTATAGTGCAGGAGTAAGCATCTTTTGCATTTAATGTTATAGCCTAATAAAGCAAGAACAATAATGCAAGTTTGGAGCGATGAAGTCAGACAAAAAAGCTACTGAGATAGTTCCCTACGAGTTAGCCTAATTGGTTTAGCCTAAGATGCGTCTGACTATTTATGTGACCCGTCTGTGCAAAAAATATTAGTGTTCTGCTGCTTATCACATATTTGAAAAAAAAATATCCCTCAAAAATAACTTTTGCCGACTTTTCGCATGTATCACCAACATGAGCAAGTCTATAAAATGACGCAACCAATGTTTCCTTTCATTCAATTTAATATTAGTGTGAACAATGCGAAGTTTATTGATTATCCAGGCAAATACAAATAGATCTCTGAAGAATGCTCCCAAATTAAACATCACGATATTTTACTCATGCTCCCAAATTCTTAAGTACAAACAATGTTCTGTTGCTCGCTATGTTGCGAATCAGTCACCTTCTTCACATAGATGCGCCGCTGATTTCAATTCATCAATAATATTGCAATATACTTCTGGTGACGTACACCATAGAATTTTTTCCAACACGTAATCACACAAAGTATACCTTTAGAAAAGAAATTTAAAATCATTCCTCAGATCCCACGACATGTGGGAGTTGTTTTCACGAAAATACCTCAGTGAGTAGCGAATGATTCATTTTATTCGGCTTTCAGCCAGGCGTTACAAGGCGGATCAACGAATCTTTTTAAGCCTAGTAGTAGTTTTGTGACCATTGCGGGCTTATCAACAGGCACATTGACAACACTGACATCTAAATGTTTTTTTCTTGTTTAAGTAAAGTTTGCACGCACATTAGAGCATATATGCCAGTGCTCAGAGGACATAAACGTGAATACTGTACTGTTACGAGAGAGGCACCACCGGTTTCTTGGTATAGCGCGTTGCGAGGGACAACCTTGACGGGAAGCATCCAGGCAGTGGAAAGGCAAAAAGCAGCCAGGAGAGAACAAAATGTTTATATTTACAATGTATGTACAGAACGCGGAGGAGCAAGCCGCCGACGCCAGATGCGCCGAGACGCTCGAGGAGGAGGGTGCACCACCGTCATTGAGACTTGTCCAGTGTCTCTTTGGGACGCGCCTAGTGGCTCCAACGGACGCATCAAGCATTTATTAGAGGGGGGGGGGGGACAAACAACTTTGTTGATGGCATAGCAAGGTCGGTAAACCTAATTTGCCGGTAATTCGATGGGTGGTGGCCAAAAGCTTGCCACGATCATTTTGGTCCAGTGAACCACTTCTGCCTGAAGACGGTAGTCAGCTGAGGACAGGAGCGACTCCCACGCCTCGAGAGGAAGCTGGCAGTATTGTTCTTGGTGCGGGGTTACCCTCGCATTCCTGAAGAATGTGATTCTGGGTAGCTTTCACGCAGCTGCAATGTCGGCAGTTTGGTGTAATCTCTTTTAGATAAATTTTAGACAACCGATGAGGGCTGGGCAAAGAATCTGTTTGGATTTGCCTCCAGATCGTGGCCTGTTCTCTTGACACATCTGCCTGCGGGGCCACGTATGTTTGCGGTTCTCTCGGTAACACGCTGTAATTTCGTTCCACAAGGTGATTGCATTCTGCGGGAAATGCAGGGTGGAGGGGTCCACGTCCCGGTTCATTAAACCTCGGGCTACTTGGTGGGCCGCCTCATTTCCTGGATTCTCCGCGTGAGCGGGCACCGGTATAAGTTGTATTTCATTGTTTCGTTTCTTATTTTTGATATTGTTGGCCGCGATCGGCCCAACAAAGCCCATCGTAAAATTCATGAGTGCTCTTTTCGAATCACTCAGCATAGAATTGGTAGCCGGAATCGAGGTGGCCAGCGCGATAGCGGCTTCTTCTGCCTCTAATGCTAAGGCCGTTTTTACGGTGGCTACAGTAATAAGTTCCCCATTGCCAGTCATCGCGCATATGGTGTAAACGTCTCTCGCTTGTCGAGTGGCGTCAACATACAGAACATTTGGGCGATCCTGAAATTCTTTTGCGAGGTTTTCTGCTCTTGCCTTTCGTCTCTCGTCATGTACTCCTGCCAGGATATTTTTGGGCAGGTGTTTAATTATAATGTCTGCACGAGTGGCCGCTGGCAGGAAAACCTTGTTGTTGAGCGTGCAACTTGTGCGCCGTTCGAGACGGTTGAGTATGTGAAGCCTGCGTTGATTCATGAAAGCCTTTCTTCTTGGGTCGTTAAATGTCCTTCTATTAGTTCCTCCACTGTGTTATGGATACCAAGGCACAGTAGTTTTTCTGTGCTTGCGTATCTGAGAAGTCCTAGGGCACGTTTATATGTTTGTCTAATCAGAGAGTTTAGTTTTTCCACGTCCATCTTTCTGAGTTGGTAGTAGGGGAACGAGTAGGTGGCTCGACTTATTAAAAAAGCGTGGATTAACTTGCATAGGTTGGATTCCTTCATTCCTTGATTTTTCTTTGCCACTATCTTTAGAAGCGTAGTCGTTTGCTGTATGGATGCCTGTAACTTGTTGATAGGTTTTGTGTTATAAGTGTAATGCTGGATGAGCATTCCTAAAACACTGATTGTGTGAACAGTGGGGACAACGTCCCCATTTACTGTGTTACCGATTGCGGAGCGTGCTCCACTGTAGGGGTCATCCTTCTTGTTTTTAGTTTTGATTACTAAGAGCTCGGATTTGTTGGGAGAACAACTAAGACCCACTTTCTTTACGTACTTCTGTACAGTATCGGCGGCTGTTTGCAAAGCGTCACAGATTTGCCCATCTCAGCCTGTGCAAGTCCATATGGTAATATGATCAGCATACGGTGAGCGCCTAATGTGTGAGATCTGATTCAAGAGAACGGGCAGGCTACGTATCGTAATGTTAAAGAGCAACAGTGATAACACAGCTCCTTGTGGAGTGGCCCGTGTTCCAAGAGGGATTTTGTCGCTTTTGAGGTCGCCAATGGTTAGTTCAGCTGTGCGTTCATGCAGAAAAGTTCTGATATAAATGTAAGTGCGACTGCCGACGTTAATTTAGGCCAAGTTTTCAAGTACAGCAGCATGGGACACATTATCTAATGCTTTATTGATATCGAGGCCCAGGATGGTCCTGGTAGCCGCTGTGTATCTAGGATTTAATATTGCCACATGATATGCTTGGGTGAGATCCAGGAGTGAAAGAAGACAAAGACGATCTATCTGAGCTGCTGCTTGGCTAGTCGACTCAACGAACCCGTTAAACCAAGTTTGTCTTAAGAAACGTGACAAGACTGGTGGGGTTGCTGGGTACAACGTCTCACGATCCACCCGATGCCCAAGACCCCACCCAGCAGCCGGAACACAAGCCCTGCACCCGTAGACACTCCTGTTCACAGAGTAAGCCGCCGCCAACGAGGCCTACCACCTGAGACAACAACCACTGACGCAGCGACTATGACTTCTACTTAAGATCCCGTGCAAGCTCCGACACCTTCCACGCCGATCTACTGCACCGCCCAGAACCCACTTATGCTAGCCCCTTTCACGGAGAACAGCATGAAGGTGTTGGCGACTGGCTGAGTGAGTTTGAACGTGTCACAGCGATAAATGACTGGGATGATGCCGCGAAGCTCCGGAACGTGTACACTTGCCTAAAGGACGGTGCCAAGACGTGGTTTTTGAACAGGAATGATGTTCTGAAATTTTGGCGCGAGTTCAAGCGTCGCTTTTTGGAGACCTACAGGAGCCCCGACCGCCGCGAACTGGTGGAGCGTGCACTACAATCCCGTATTCTGATGCCAAACGAGACCGTCTCGATGTACGTCGAGGACATGACACGGCTCAGGAGAGTGGATCCTGCTATAGCAGAAGAAAAAAAGTTGCGCCACCTCATGCGTGGTGTGAAGGAACAACTTTTTGCTGGTTTGGTGCGTAGTCACCCTAAGAGTGTTGCTGAGTTTCTTACTGAAGCGGCAACAATGGAGCAAGTACTGCACCAACGGTCTGCCCTGTTTGACGGTCAAGTGAATGCTGCCTCAGCTCCCGAAATTTTCGCCACCCCTGGGAGCAAGAGCCCCGAATAGATTCGCGAGATCATCTGATCTGTCGTCCGGGAAGAAATGGAAAAGATGTACGGGACAAGGCAAATCGATGTTGGTTCTATCACCAGTGTCATCCGTGACGAGATCCAGCAAGTGTTGCACGCCCATCGTCTTCCGCCGATGTCGGTTGATTAAGAAACGGCTCCTATGTCTACTGACAGTCGCCGTCGTACGTACGCGGAAGCCTTGCGATCTGCCACGCCTCTTTCTGGTCAAGGAGTCCCGACCTAGACAGTGCCGCACGTCCCGATTCAGACAGTGCCACACGTTCCAATTCAGACAGTGCCACAGGTCCCGATCCAGACAATGCCATACGTCCCGATCCAGACAATGGTGCCGTCAGTCACGATTCAGTCAGCGCACGCTGGTTTGGACATCGATGGTCGCCGTGCACCGACGCGCAAGTCTGATCTCTGGCGTACGCCGGACAGACGACCCCTCTGCTATCATTGCGGTGAGGCTGGTCACATTTACCGCGAATGCCCATACCGTCAACTTGGCCTGCGTGGATTTTCCGTCAATTCACCTCGTCCCCAAATTGGTCAAAGGCCGAGGGATATCGAAGAGTATCTCGCGCAACAGCGTGCACCATTTACACGATGGCAATCGCGGTCACCCTCTCCGAGGAGACCCACAGCCACT